ACAATGTTGTAATTATAGTTTGGCCACTTAGTCTGGTATTAGGTCAGGTTCACACCATTTTCCGGACCGGAACCTGCTCACAGTTCCAGTGCATTTCAGACCAGACAACATAAGACGAGCAGTATTTTTCTGGTCTGGTCCGGAACGGACTGCGCTGGCGTGAACAGAGGCCAGAAATAGCATAGGAATACATTAGGATGCATTTTAGGTCCGGAAACAATCTGGTCTGGTCTGGAGATGATGTGGGGTGAATTGGCCTTTAGGGAGGAATCGGCCACCACCTCCAGTTAGGTCAGTGTTCTGATCTGATGTTGCTTCAGTTGGTCAGGTCTAGGTTCAGCAACGTCATGTCCCCAAAAATTTAGGTCAGCTGCCCCCTGAATATACTGAATGGCCAAGATTTTCCATCAATGGATTTTTCTTCCCTGATGGCACATTGGACATATTCCAGGATGACAATGTCCGGATTCATCGGGCTCAGATTGTGAAAGAGTGGTTCATGGAGCACGAGACATCATTGTCACACATGGATTGGCCACCACAGAGTCCAGACCTCAACCCCATTGAGAATCTTTGGCATGTGCTGGAGAAGACTTTACGCAGAGGTCCGACTCTCCCATCATCACTACAAGATGTTGGTGAAAAATGTATAAAACTGGACGGAATTTTTTTTTGACATTGTATAAGCTTATCGAAACGATGCCACGGCGAATGCATGCCGTAATCAAAGCTGAAGGTGGTCCAATGAAATAGAGTGTGTGTGACTGTCTTTTTTTGAAGCATGTGTTCTATCAAAGATTGTGACTACGTTGGAATGTGTGACCGGTCACGGGGTCACACATTTTAACGTAATCACGCCCACTTTTTCGACAGTGGAATATGTGAGCGGCAAAAGGTGAAGAATTCCAACGCTTTCTCAGCTGTTCCAGGGCAGATCGGCATCGAAGATCGTATGTGCAGGAGAACCGATCTGCCCTGGAACAGCTGATCGGTCCTGAAATGTCACTTCTATCCGACTTTCTGGAATGTGAGATCGCACTCACAAAGACGGATAGAAATGATATTTCAGGAGCCAAAAAACTGGGCGGGATCACGTTAAAATGTGTGACTGGTCACACATTTCAACCCCGATAAACTGGGCGGGATTAGGTTAATGTGTAACCACGTCACTAGGTCACGCATTCTAACGCAGTCAGAAAACTTTCATAGAACGCGGGCAGTGTACCAGTGCATTTTGTTCTTGGGTTTAGATACATTTGATCATGTTTTCAAGCACTGAGAGCTATAGTGATATATATATATAGGCAGGATCTTGCCCATCTGCCTGCTTATGTGTCTGTCTTACATGTGGTCGGTGGCACAGGAAGCTGCAAAGCTACGGGCTCTAAATAACGTTGTCACCCTCTGGCGATTATACCGTGTTGTGTTAAAATGAGAGATATTTCGGCAGCTGAACACGCCACACGTATGTATTTCGGCTGTGTATTTAGCCCCGGCTTTTTCCTCTTCTGGAGATTTGCATTCACCGTACACACTTGATAAGATTGAAATCCTTCTGCCTTTGAGAGATCATTTTTCTTTTTCTCATCTGAAAGGAGTTTCTTTTGAGATGCAAAGCTTTAGGGGAAAAGACACGGCGCTGCTGCTTGGGGGACTCGAGCGGATAAACAAAGAGGGCATCTGGGGAAAATTAGGCCAGATAAAAGGAACCGATAGGTTGGGAAAACCGGCTCCTATTGAAGGCACAAAAAAGGAGACGATATTCAAAAGGCTGTTTGAGGTTTCCGTGTAAGAGGGAAAAATCCCACTCGGAAAACATATTTACATATCTAACGCCATCACACCTCTCCTCCTCCCAGCAGGGTTTGTCATTCAATAATAATTTGTCAGAGTTGCTATTGTAGAAGATGATGATGATGATGATGATCGCCAGCCCTCGAGTAGTAGCATTTAATCTTTGTGCTTATTTATTGAAGTGAAACGTCAAAAACACGGTATTACCAACGTTTCGGGGCCGCGCCGGGTCCCTTCATCAGGGCAACATAGTGAAGGGACCCGGCGTGGCCCAGAAACGTCGGCTAGATCATGTTTGTGATGATTGCGCCCTGGTTCACACCAAGGCGGCACCGTTTTTTGCGCGTTAGCAGCAGCATGCGGTTATTTGCGCTTTAATGCGTGTTGTGCACATTTTTATGCGCGTTTTGATTGGCAGCTCATAAACCATTGTGAGCAATGGAAGAACGCGCGCAAAAACACTCACGAAAATGTGCAACGTGCTTCTGTTGCGCGTTTTTGGGCATTTCCAATGAAGTCTATGGGGAGGAAAAGCGCTTTTAACTGCCCAAAAAAGCTCCTGTATCTCTTTTCTGGCGTTTTTCTGCTCAGGTGTAAACAAGGGCCATTGAAAATCACGGGGTTTCTTGTGTTGGGCAGTTAAAAGCGCTTTTCGAACTGCTCAAAAACTCCTAGGTGTGACCCAGGCTGAGTGCTACTGGTCGAGCGCTGGCGATCTTATACAAGTTTGATATACACGGCGTAGTCGGTGAACATCACTGCAAGAACCACGGGTGTTCAGGTCCAATCGCTGTAAGGAGTGCAGGGGACACATGCGCATACCACATGCTATTGTGCCTCCAGCCGGAATTGGAAACCAATTACAGGCATTAGCTCAATACGGCCCTAAATCGGGTGTATTAATTTGGAGAGTTTGCCTCATGGGCCTGTTACCCTCAATCTACTGATAATTTAAAGGGCTCTTAAAGATGAACTATGAGGGGGGTGCTTTTCACTCACCTCATAGTTCTAGCCGACCTGTGACAATGAGACTGTCACAGGTCGGCTCAGTAGATCGGGAGGTGAGCAAACGCATAACGGCGTTCGCTCACCTCTCTATCCTGTCACGGCTCACTGCCGTGACAGGGGAGGGGCTGGATTCCCCCCTCCCCGCTCCGATCCACCAGCGCTGACTGGAGGAACGGACGGGGAGGGGGCGGGTACAGCTGGCTCTGCCTCTAGATAGGCAGAGCCAGCTGTCACTCACACAGCTGGGCAGATCCAGACATAATTGTCGGGATCCGTTTCAGCTGTGGCATCTCGGTATACCGCAAGCTGTAGCTCCCTATATAATGAGCTTAGGGTGACGGGGGGACGCTAGTTTGTGTCCTCCCGTTACCCTTAGGAGAACTATGGGGAAAAGCCCTGACCCCATGGTTCTCCTTTTAAAGACTTATAAATAGTGGCGTAGTGGTAAGCATTTCAGCCTTGCAGCACTGGGGGTCCCCGGTTCGAATCCCAGTCAGGACATCATTATCATGTTCTCCTTGTGCTTGTGTGGGTTTCCTCAAACACATGCTGGAAGGTTAAGTAGCTCCTGTGTGAATTGGCCCTGTATGTATGTATGTAAGCATGTGCAACAAGGACCTTAGATTATAAGCTCCTTGAGGGCAGGGACTGGTGAGTATTCTGTATGTAAAGCACTGTGTAAATTGTCAGGGCGATATACAAATACCTGTATTAATAATTAAAATACTAATTTCCTATTTTTTCCCCCCCGATGCAGTATTGCATCGTAATACATTTGACCTGAAAAGAAAATATATTAACAACATTTGTTTTTGCCGTTATTCACACAAAATGAACGTTCGCAGATATATTCGCAGGGTGAACTTTTTTTTTTTTTGGATAGAGGGAAAGGTCAACACCCCCCACAAGGTCTGATGTACTAATTGTAATAACGATCAGTGCTGAAGTCCCCATCTCACATACCTAAACGCAGACACATGCTAAGACCAGTTTAGACTGGGGTTAGTTGACCTGCTAGCATGTCTTTGGAGTGTGGGAGAAAAACAACTACCCAGAGGAAACCCACACAACCTCAGGGGAATATGCAAATTAATTGCAGATTGTGTCCTTACTGGGATTTAAGCTAAGGACCCCCCAGTGCTGCAAGGCAGAAGTCCTAACCACTGAGCCCCTGTGTTGTGTTTGAAAGCAGAGTGTATGTAATTATATTGCCGTGTCCTCAGATTTGTCACTGACACTTCTACTTTTACTTGTACTTTCAGTTGGCCAAAAAGATTCGGGAGAAGTTTAACCGCTATTTGGATGTGGTGACCCGCAACAAGCAGGTGGTGGAGGCGTCCTATACCGCCCATTTGACGTCCCCGCTCACTGCCATCCAGGATTGCTGCACAATCCCGCCATCAATGATGGAGTAAGTGGAGTCTCTTTTCTGTGGTTGACTTCTTTTACTTTTGTATGATATCCACTTGCGAGGAATCTTATTGTATTTATTATGAACTGATATAAGCTTTGCTGGAGTAGTGTTTTTAGTCCGTAGTTGTGCGTTGTGTTGGGTTTAGCATTTCGTGATTTGCACATTCTTGCTGTTCTGTGTTAGCTGTATGTTAGTGTTCAGGGTTCTAGTGTGCATTCAGCATCACACAGCCTCTGGCAGCCTCTCAGTCTGTGGCCTTTTCTAGCTTGCCTCTCTGTGTGGTGTGGTCGTGGTGGCTCCCCGGTATGTTTCGGTCTGTGGTGGCTCCCCGGTATGTTTCGGTCTGTGGTGGCTCCACCATGCATGTCACGGTGTGTGTGGTGGCTCCACCATGCATGTCACGGTGTGTGTGGTGGCTCCCCCTTGTGCGTTTCAGTCTGTGGTGGCTCCCCCATGCATGTTACGGTGCGCCGCGTTGGCTCCCCCCTTGTGCGCCGCGTTGGCTCCCCCCTTGTGCGCCGCGTTGGCTCCCCCCTTGTGCGCCGCGTTGGCTCCCCCCTTGTAAAACGGCTCCCCCCGTGTGCGCCGCGGCGGCTCCCCCGTGATCATAGCACCCCAAATCCCACCACCATGTGACGGACACAACCCCACATCTCTCCCTTAGGGTCTGTGGAATCCACATCCCCACCCCGTGTGGCGCAGTTTGCGTAGGCCTCTGGTGTAAATCACTAATCCTCCCGCCCCCCAATGATAGATCCCATTGCTCCCCTTTCCCCATGTGGGCCAGTTTGTGTCGGGCACCCCTGTGTGGCCCAGTCTCTGGCTGTTTGACCAACAAGGATTTTGAATGCTGTGCCCGGGTTTCATGGCAGCAGAAACCCGGACACAAGATGTCAGGCAGACAGGGGCAACAAACATTAAGATAGGGGCTACTGGCCTCCCACTAAAAATAGTCTTAAATGTGACATTTACATATGAATGGGTGGCGCTATTACCTATGAATAAGCCACCACTCATTCTCCCCCAAAAAATGTCTGTGTGTCGCTAGAGTGTTTAGATTTCCCTTGAAGAAAAGGTGGCAACCCTACAAACAAGTACAACAAGTGAAACAATGAACCCCATTCCTTTTGCAAAAAGGAAAATTGATGGCTCCTCTGTGTTTCTTGGAGTCAATTTTCGGCGGGATCTGTATGTCTTGTATAGGACAGTGCTGTGTTTTCAGACTGACTACACTTCATAAGCGCACCCCTCGGTCCTTTTTAAAAGTGAATTATCTTTATTACAATGGTTTCTATTCCTATGTAATCCAAACAGTATGCCGGCCCCGTAGGCGGCTGATTAGAGCCAAGCGCTCTGCACAGACAGACCCGGGCTGACTTCAGATGGGAAACATTTGGACCACCTTGCCTGAGGAGCTTTTATTATGTTTCACGGATAGTCTTACCTCACCTCCCACAAGGTGGGGGGAAGAGAACCTATGCCGATTTGACCCAGCGGGTTTTGGAAATGGCACCAAGTTGGATTCAGAATTCACCTAATGACGATATGGTTTTGTTCTAGCATGAGGTCATATTCTCTCCTTGTTTGGTCCACCTAGACTTCAGCAAAGAGGTTTTCTCTGGTAGAAACAAGCAATGTGACCGTTTTCAGCATCTAGCTGGCAGATTATTTGGATAATGAACCGTTATACACCAGTTTGCTTCTCCTGCCTGATGCGGAGGCCCCCTTCCTGTCTTCACCCCGTCGATTGGGGTCGAATAAGGCGATGTCGGCAGCCTTTTGTACGAGGCATGGCCACATGCGGGCTGTGTTTCAGAGGAGTATATGGAGAAAGCAGACTTTTTTTTGTTCTTTATTTATTGGATTAAGACACAATGTTGGTACTGGGGGGAAAAAAAGAAGTGACGTGCCCTCCGAGATCATTAAAGGGTATAAGTGGATACTTGTCCCAATGTTTAGGTAACTACTTTGTAACCGTTAAAACGGGGTAGTAACTTTTGATAAGGATACGGATTAATTCACATCCTGTTTGGTTCAGGGGCTATTGTTCATTTATTAGCCTGGGGAGGAGGTCTAACCTTCATTGATCATATTATAATGTCTACATTTCTTCATTTTGGTGCAGGTGCTTATTGCACTGTCAGGCATATTGGTTAATAATAGTCCTTGCCCTAATTTTGTATGGATGCCGGTTGCACTGCCAGATATATAGGTAAATATCAGTGACAACCCTCATTTTGGTCCTGATGTTGATTGCACTGCCGAGCATATAGATAAATACCAGTGCCTGTCCTCATTTAGTATAGGCACATAATGCCTTCTCTGCCCTATAGGTAGGTAACCCCTACTGCCTCTCCTCATTTGGTATGGCTGCTGAAATAACCCCAAGCAATTACAGCAGAGGAAGAATCCCAAGATGCAACAAAATTACTTCCATGTCCATAACTCGAGTTCTTTCATGTATTTCAGCCATTGTTTCCCTTTTTAATAGCTTTTCATTTTTTAATTTTTTTTTGTGCAGTAGATTTTTTTTTTCTTCACTTCCAATCCCAAATCCACTGCTTGGCGGTGTGAACCAAGGCCGCATCAAAAAAAAAAAGCCCTCAGCCGAAGCGAGCGCAGGCTTGATGTA